GGCTCAAGTGGTAGAATGCTAGCCTTGAACTGAAGAGCTGAGGGACAGTACCCAGGCCCAGAGTTCAAGCTCTATGACTACCCCCCCCCCCCCAAAAAAAAAGCTGCAAATTCTGTGACGTTGGGGTGAGGTGTGTTTTTATGACCATTTCAAGCAATGGACATGATGCTGTGTGACTTTTTTTTTCAGGTAAGGAGTAGGTTTATTCATTGTTCCGGCTGGCACCAGGCCATCCTGGTCCTCCACGCGGTGGAGAAAGGCCTGGGAAAGAGAGCTGGGAGATCTGGGAAAGAGAAGGAGCTGGGAAAGAGAGAGCTGGGAAAGAGAGAGAAAAGAGCTAGAAAAGAGAGCATCTGGGAAAGAGGTGGGAAAGAGCAAGCTAGGAAAGAGAAGAGAGCTGGGAAAGAGAAGAGAAGGAAAGAGCTGAGAAAGAGCTAGAAAAGAGAAGAGCTAGAAAAGAGCTGAGCTAGAAAAGAGCTAGAGAAGAGCAGAGAGAGCATAAAGAGAGCTGCTGTGTGACTTTTGAAGCAAGATCAGAAAAAGTAAGCAGGCCAGCACCAGTAACTCATCCCTGTAGTCCTACCTACGCAGGCAATTGAGATCTGATGATCAATATTCAAAGCCAGGCTAGGCAGGAAAGTTCACGAGACTCTTAACTCCAATTAAGTACCAAAAAGGTGGAAGAGAAGTTGTGACTCATGTGGTAGAGGACCAACGTCGAGTGAAAATGCTAAGGGACAGTGCCCAGGCCCTGAGTTCAAGTCCCAGGACTAGCAAGAGAAAAAAGAAAAAAAAAAGAGAGAAAGAAACCTGGCTACTCTGAGGCTGCCAGAATATAGGGTATGCTCTGGTGGGCAGGCCCAGCTCATCCAGGCCTTTCAACCATCCCTGTCTAATGTGACAGGGAAACCATCTTGGACTCTGACAGCTCAACCACACGGTCTGTGTCAATGTCTTGTGACACAGACAATTGTTTGACGTGGCCATGCCAGAATTTGTGATTCACCAAATTAGAAAATGCTGTTTAAAGCCACTAAAGTTTTGGAAGATTAAAAAAAAAAAATGTTTCGGTAGAGAACTGGAATAGACCTTGGCTCTTCAAAAGGTTAGTCTTGGGTAGAGAGGGGGTTGTTTAAAGGGCTATAATAGGGCTGGGAAGGTGGCTCAGTGGTAGAGCGCTTGCCTTGCAAGCATGAGGCCCTGGGTTCGATTCCTCAGCACCATATAAGCAAAAAGAAAAAAGCTGGAAGTGGCGCTGTGGCTCAAGTGGTAGAGCACTAGCCTTGAGCTGAAGAGCTGAGGGACAGCGCCCAGGCCCAGAGTTCAGGCCCCACGACCGGACCCAAAAAAAAAAAAAAAAAAAAAAAAAAATAAAGGGCTATAATAATCAGATGCAATGAGCCAGGCTTCTTTGATTCTGGCTCAAAAAGGGGGCATTATAAGTACTTTGGGGATAAATGGAGCTATTTGAGAATAGATTATTAGATGATATCTTTAGGAAATCACTAATTTTGTTAGCTATGACCATGATTTTGAGGTTTTTGTATTGAAGACATACTTCCCTTGAGTTGAACATCATTATGATTAAAACTTAGCTACCAATGGGCCGGTAGAATATTTACACACACACACACACACACACACACACACACACACACACACACAAACACAAATACACACATGCACACTGTAAATAAAGGGGGGAAAAGTTAAGTAGTATTTGAATCTAGATACTGGGTAGATGATGCTCATTATGTAACCTTTTCAACTTTTCTGTATGTAAGAATCTTCACAATAAAAAACAGAGAAAAAAAAAAAAAAGAGATCAAAGCTGGGCACCTGTGGCTCATGCCTGTAATCTTAGCTACTCAGGAGGCTTGGATCTGAGGATCGCTGTTCAAAGCCAGCCCGGGCAGAAAAGTCTGTGAGACTCTGATCTCCAATAAACCACCAGAAAACCAGAAGTGGTGCTGTGGCTCAAGAGGTAGCGCGCTCTCCTTGAGCTGAAGAGCTCAGGGACAGAGCCCAGGCCCAGAGTTCAGGCCCCACGACCCACTAAAATAAAATAAAAATAAAAAAGAGATCAGGGACAAATAACTTACCAAAACATTTCTAACATCATTAGTCATCAAGAAAATACGAATTAAAGCTAACATGCTAGGCCAGGGATGTAGTGCTTGCCTGGCTTGTGTGAGGCCCTGGTCTTGGGCCTCAGCACTGAAAAGGAAAAAGGAACAAAAGGCAATACCACTCACAAGAAGGACAAAGGTGAAGAAGACAGAAAAGGACTGGCAAAGACCAAAGAAGCATAGGTCCCATGGTTTCCCTTATTTGCAATAACAAGTATACATCTAGGATAATCCTACCAGACAAGCAGAAAAGGTCAAAAGCTATGTACATATGACCATATAAGATGATGCTAAGCAAAATGAACCCCAAGACATGGACACAAGAGCTTTTTATATTTGTTGCTGTTGTCTTCAATGTACTAGGTGATTTTTTTTGTTTCTTTTGTATGTTCTTCCCCTGTGTTATCGCCCCTATTGTCACTGTATTTGATTCTGGTGCCCTGCATCTTGTATACATTTTTCTGATTTGGGGAGGGGAAGGGGAATAACAAAATGCTTGAAACAAGGATACAGGTTGACCCATTGTAACAATGAGATGTACAAGACACTATGTTGAAAACAAACTTTACAACTTGGTAAGGGGGTGGTGGTGGTGTTGGGGAGATGGGGATGGAAGGGATAGTAGGGGAAAAACAAAGGAGGGGGTAACAATGCCCAATAAGAAATGTACTCATTACCTTACTTATGTAACTGTAACTCCTCTGTAGAGTATCTTCACAATAAAAAATATTTTTAAAAAAGAAAATAATTAGCAAAGCTTTGAGGCAAGTAGAACTACCTCACAGCCTGCTGGAGAAAGTATACGATGAGCCAATCACTTTAGAAAGCCATTGGGGTATCTGTAAAGCCAACGTACTGATGAGCTTCAGCAAATCCTTTCCCTGGAGCCACCACAAATGTACCTATCCATCAAAAGATATGTGTAAGCACTGCTGCAAATGGCTTCAACCTGAAAGCCATAAAAAGATGTGCAGAGAAATCTATATTTGTAATAAGGTGGACAAATTGCATTGATGTCACTATGCTGTTTCTAATATTATTCAAAAGTTTTGCACAATAGTTACCATTGGGAGAAACTGGGTAAAGGGTATAGAAATCTCTTTGCATTATTTCTTAGGAATGTGTATAAGCCAATAAATATCTTTCAAAAAAGTTTAATTAAAGCCAGCGTTGGTGGCTCATGCCTGTAATCGCTACTCAGGAGGCTGAGATCTGAGGATCATGGTTCAAAGCCAGCCCAGGCAGGAAAGTCCATGAGACTCCAATTAACCACCAGAAAATCAGAAGTGGTGCTGTGGCTCAAGTGGTAGAGCACTTGACTTCAGCTGAAGAGCTCAAGGACAGCGCACAGGCCCAGAGTTCAAGCCCCATGACTGACAAAAAAAAAAAAAAATATGAAGAAGAAGTTTAGTTAAAAAAAAAAAAAAAAAGAGCTGGGCACTAGTGGCTCATGCCTGTAATCCTAGTTACACAGGAGGCTGAGATCTGAGGATTATGGTTCAAAACCAGCCCAGGCAAATAAGTCCCTGAGACTCTTATGCCCAATTAACTAAAAAAGAAAAAAAGCCAGAAGTGGAGCTGTGGCTCAAGTGAAGACAGCCATCCTTGAGCAAAAAAAACAAAAAACAAAACAACAACAACAAAAACCCTCAGGGATAGTGTCCAGGCCCTGAGCTCAAGCCCCAGAACAGGTAAAAAACAAAAACAAAAAAAACCCCAAAACCAAAACCAGCAAGATACAGTGGAGCATGCTGCCACTTTTTTTTTTTAAAGGGGTTTATAATTTATAAATATGCTTGGTTTTGCATAGGATATTTCTAGGAAGATATGAATAGACACAAGACCAGTGGATTTTCTCAGAGAGAAGTAGAAGTCAGGAGATCAAAAGAGATCGCGATTTACTTTTCACTGTGTGTCTTCTCTTTTGCTTTTTCTTTTCTTTTTTCTTTCTTTTTCCTTTTTCTTTTTTCTTTTGGTTGGTTGTGGGGCTTGAACTCTGGGCCTGGGCACTATCCCTCAATTCTTCAGCTCTAGGTGAGCACTCTACTACTTGAGCCACAGCGTCACTTCCAGTTTTCTTAATGGTTTATTGGAGATAAGAGTCTCACAGACTTTCTGCCTGGGCTGGCTTTGAACTGTGATCCTCAGATCTCAGCCTCCTGATTAGCTAGGATTACAGGCGTGAGCTACCGACTCCTGACTGTGTGTCTTTTCATATGGTTTGAAGTTTTGTATCTGTATTACTTTCACATTAAAAACCCCTAAGAAATGGGCCAGGTGCTGATGGTTGACAATTGTAATCCTAGCTTCTCTGAGGCTGAGAGTTGAGAATTAACTTTCAACCCAGCCTAGACGGACAAATTCTTGAGACTCTTACCTCCAATTAACCAGCATAAAGTAAAAGTGGAACTGTGGCTCAAGTGATAATGCTCCTTAAGTGGAAAAAAAAAAAAAAGAAAACCTAAATGAGGGCAAGAAGACTTGAGTTAAAGAGCCAGTACCTGCTCACATAAAATAAACAATCCCTAAGAAATTTAAAAATAAAACAAGTGTGAAATTGAAACAATTTTAGGCTCATTTTATTCAGATAACACTTTTATTTTTATTTTGTCAGTCATGGGGCTTGAACTCTGGGCCTGGGCGCTGTCCCTCAGTTATTCAGCTCAAGGCTAGAGCTCTACCACGTGAGTCACAGCGCCACTTCTGGTTTTTTCTGCTTATGTGGTGCTAAGACTCGAACCCAGGCCCTCATGCATGCAAAGCAAGCGCTCTACCACTGAGCCACATTCCCAGTCTCAGATAACACTCTTAACACATGTCCAAAAACACTCAAGTAATGAATCAGATAAAATCAGACATTAAGATTGGTCTTCAAACATCATGACCAATGATGCTATGTTTGCCTATGATCTCTTGATATGAAACCACATCTACACCTCAGTGGCTACCAGACCATTCAGCATAGCTTCCTGAACTGTGAGCTGTTTGAAGCTACCAGTCTGAGCACTATGAATTATTTTTCCCAGGCTCTGAATAGCTGTAGGGATTTCATCAGGGGTTGGAGGAACCAGCTCAACCCTAGTGTAGTGCCAAAATGGTTCCAATTGTGTTTTGGAGTAAGTCAGAGCAGCATTTACCAGCATCAGGGTCTTCTCCACAGGTTTCAGATGAACTAGGCCATGGCCAGTATGGTTTGTCCCTCTCCATTGATGGTCCGTTGAATATCACTCTACAATATTCTTATAGTGAAAGCAATGATGGCTTACAAACCATCAATTTATTTGCCATAAGAATTCTATACTCAAGTTGGTGCCAGTGGCTCATGCCTGTAATCCTAGCTACTCAAGAGGCTGAGATCTGAGGATCACGGTTCAAAGCCAGCCTGGGCAGGAAAGTCTGTGAGACTCCAAGAAATCACTGGGAAACTGGAAGTGGTTCTGTGACTCAAGTGGTAGAGCATTAGCCTAGGGCTGAAGAGCTGAGGGACAGTGCCCAGATTCAAGCCCCATGACTGACAAAACAACAACAACAAAATAATTCTATACTCCTTTCATTGGGGGAAATGGACTGTGAGCAAATCTTATCTAATGCATGCCCCCTTGGAAAGCTACCCAAGTCTCCTGACTTACAAGTCTGGGGTAAATTCTTTTTTTTGTTGTTTTTTTTTTTGGTCCGGTCATGGGGCATGAACTCTGGGCCTGGGCGCTGTCCCTCAGCTCTTCAGCTCAAGGCTAGCGCTCTACCACTTGAGCCACAGGGCCACTTCCAGCTTTTTTTCTTTTTGCTTATGTGGTGTTGAGGAATTGAACCCAGGGCCTCAGGCATGCAAGGCAAATGCTCTACCACTGAGCCACCTTCCCAGCCCCAGGTCTGGGGTAAATTCTAACTTCACTGCACCCTGTGAACTGACAAGACACTGCTTCCCAGCCTTGAGCTGTTAGGTGTGTAGACAACCTGTAACTTGCTTGAAGCTACCTTGATTCTGTCTCAGGGGAGTTTTTATCTTCTGAAACATCATTACACATAATTTGAACTTTTAAATCATTCATTACTCCCCGCCAGGTGGGTGTTCCCATGTGTTAGCATACTGATTTGGAAGGATTGCCAAAAGTAAAGTCGACTCACACTGCAGAGGGAACCAGGAACACCAATTCTTACCTGCCCACAGAATGGAGCCACCTAGAGCTGTTCAATCTTTGGGAACTGGAACCCCACTACCTGTTTAGTTTGTTTACAAAGATCAATATCATAGTATCACTATGGAGTTCTTCTAACATCCTTAGAACTTATCTGTTCTCCTATACTTGTAGGAAAAGTCACTTGGGAGGAGATAAAGATGATTATGTAATGAAAATAGATGAACTGAAGTGTCTGGAAAAATGCACGTTTTAAACTCCTATATCCCCAAGAAATGGGAACAAGAGGTTTTAACTTGTCCTGCTTGCGGTTCTTTTTTTTTTTCCTGTCCCCCTCCCCCATTTTGTTGCTGGTTTTTTTTTTTTTTTTAAGGAAGTAGTATTTTTTTATTCCTATCTTTTTTTAACAAGTTTTTTTTTTATTGTGAAAATACTGTACAGAGGGGTTACAATTACATGAGCAAGGTAATGAGTATATTTCTTATCAGTTGTTGCTGTTTTTTTTTTTTATTTCTGTACCCTTTATCTTGTATGTAAGTTTATCTGATTTGGGGAGTGGAAGGAGAGGCAAAGAAACACTGGAACAAAGGGCAAACCAATTCAGCAATGATACCCACTAGACACTATGTTGGAAATGAGCTACAACTTGTTGGAAGGAAAAAAAAACTGGAGAAAATGAGGGAGGGAGTGACACTGTTCAAAAAGAAATATACTCCTTACCTGACTTATGTAACTGTAACCCTCTGTACATCATCTTTACAATAAAAAAATTTAAACACACACAGCTCCATACAACCAGTTCACAAAAGGACAGTATCACACAGTTGAAATTTAAAAGCTGAGATCTAAGCCAGGTGCTGGTGCCTCGTGACTATAATCCTAGCTACTCAGAAGGTTGAGATCTGAGGATCATGGTTTGAAGCCAGCCTGGGCAGGAAAGTCTGTGAGATTCTTATATCCAATAAACTATTAAAAAAGCTAGAAGTAGAGCTGTGGCTCCAATGGTAGAGCACTATCCTTGAGCACAAAGAGGCTCAGAGACAGTGTCCATGCCCTGAGTTGAATCCCCAGGACCATCAAAAGTAAAATGAAATGAAATGAAATAAAATAAAAGCTGAGATCTAAAAAGCAAAAGTCACACTGTAATTCCAAGACAAACAGATTATGTACTTAAAAAAATCCCTTCTCTCCACCCATCTCCAACACCACCAAAGATCTAAAATATTTCAGGCCTGAAAGTTGTTCAAATCTGTCAGCACTAGCAGTTGGTAAACCAATGCAAATAGAACATTACACCTCCCCAAAACCTACTGTTCCTGATCTTACCACACAACAAGCCACATTACAGACTGAGAGAAACAGAAGCCTGGCCCATTAGACTGACAGCAAAACCAAAACCTCACGTTGAATGCCAGAAACTGAGCATTCTGTTTTCTTGCAAGTAATGCAGTGTGAATATATAAAAGTAGAACCTTTGGCAACTAGCATAGTTTAGAAATAATGCACAAAAGCATGAGGAAAGAAACCTCTTAGACATAGTACTGCATGTTTTGTAAAATTAAGTTTCATGTTAATGAAAAACCCCTTCAGTTTTGTAGGAGTCAGATTTTTTGATGAAATTAGTATTTATGAATAAGGAGGTTTGGGCAAAAATAAATTGTGTGTGTGTGTGTGTCTGTGTGTGTGTGGTGGGAGGGGGGGGAATGGGACAGGGAGATCTTCAGTGTCTTGGGCAATGGATTCTGTCACTGAGACCCGGGGACCACTGAAACCATCTTTCTTCAGCCTGCTCTGTCCTCAGTGGCTATGCAGAAAGAGGCACCCTTCTTGGGTCAACGAGACATACTTTGTGCAGGAAGAACTCCTCTGGTGGTAATTGTTCCTGCTTGTTTGGATGTGCTAGTGGTCTATGTTTCAGATGGCCAACTGTCCCAGTTTTCCCAGGACTTAATGTCACTTGAGACACAGGTCTTTCAGTGTTAAAAATAAATCAAGCATGAGGCCCTGAGTTCAAATCCAACTATGCTAAAAATAAGAAAATAAAAAAAGAAAGCCATGGAGGAAGAGGAGGGAGGGAAAAAGGGAGGGAGGGAGGGAAGGAGGAGGAAAGAAGGAAGGAAGGAAGGAAGGAAGGAAGGAAGGCAGGAAGGAAGGAAAGAAGAAAGGAATGAAAGGATTTTTATATATCTACAGGAGCCAGAATCAACACAAGTGTACATTGACAAATGGATAAACAAAATAAAATATGAAGTATTATTCTGCGCTCAAAAAGAATGACACTCTGACACATGTTTCAGTAAGAGTGGACCTTGAAGCCATTTGTGCTTAGTCAAAGAAGACACACACTATGAGAGCTACTTACCAGTCATCAGATTTCTAGACAGGAAAGTGGGCTGGTTGCTATGGGCCAGAGCCATGCTGGGGGGGGGGGGGGAGGGGAGAGAAGAGGGAGTTGTTTAATGTGTGGGAACCTTCAATTTGAGAGAATGAAAACGTTCTGGGGCTGGGAACACATCAATATCATGGAACTGTCTGATTAAAAACAATTAAAATGGCAAAAATTTGATGAGTGAATTATATAACACTTTTTTAAAAAATTTTTTTTGGGGTCTGGTCATGGGGTCTGAACTCTGGGCCTGGGTACTGTCCCTCAGCTCTTCAGCTCAAGGCTAGCACTCTACCACTTGAGCCACAGCGCCACTTCCGGCTTTTTTCTTTTTGCTTATGTGGTGCTGAGGAATTGAACCCAGGGCCTCAGGCATGTAAGGAATGCGCTCTACCACTGAGCCACCTTCCAAGCCCCTATATAACACTTTTATACTGGCATATTTTACTAGTATACAAACAAAAAAAAATGCAAGGCAGGGGTGTAGCTCAGTGGGATAGCCCTTGCCTTGCACTCACAGGATTCTGGATTAGATCCTCTGATAACACAAAAACTAAATTAAATTTCAAAATAAACCCCCAAATCCATAGGACTTAGTGACATTCAAACCCCTTCTGCTCCTCCATTGTGTAGATGTACCTTAGGACTCCTGTGCACTCACAACGAGGTCCCAGTTGTGAAAGAACCCCTGGTTTTGTAGTTAAGGCTTCAGAGATTTTTTTTTACTCCGGGGTGGGGGGTGGGGGACGTATTATCATTCCTCTCCATCCTCCATTTGAAGAGCTGAGTAATGGCGGAGGGTAGAGAAAGGAGGTTTATACCACAGGAAGAGGGAGAATAAGCATCTCAGCCCACCTGGAGGCTGCAGACTGTGAGCTGTATTTAAATAGGGAAAGAATCGGGACAGGATGTCCAGGTCTGCATAATGAATCAGTCCTGGTCAAACTGTGGTCCTGTGGATTATTATCTCAGTTCTGGTCTTAAAAGTGGCTCTTTACTGCTTGAGGGGGACAATCTGGTCCCCAGAGGATGATTGATCCTGTTTTCTAGGCTGCAGCCTCATCAATATAGGTAATTGCCCTCATTTGCTTGGGGAGGGGGGGGGCATAGTTTTACTCCATCATCATAAAAGATAGATGTTGTCTGTCAATCCTGTCTTCTCAGGATCCAAGGTGACTGCAGGAGAAAATGACAGAGCAAAGCAGAGTTAGAAGCTGGCATGCCAGACTTTTTTCCTGCTTTTAGTTAACTTGTGGACCCAAGTGAGGAATTAATGCTTCTTACTGACATGATTTGGAAAGATGAGCTGGACCATACAAACTTCTTCTCTTCAATATTTGCACAAGTTGCAGCTGGCCCTGGACATAGAGTGGAGAAACAGAAACAGAGAGGTGGTTGACAGGGACCCTTTCTGGGACCTGTCTGTCAGACATTCTCCGGATTGCACAGGGACTTGGTGCATTTATGACCTTTCATGTGAGCTACTTTGAAGAATTTCTTTCTCTACTCCCCAAAAGCAGCTCTATCGCTGAAACCTTTTCATGGTTAGAATCACTTGATAAAACTTGATTCTACATGCATAACTACAAAAAAAGAACCCAACACCCAATCACCTAACTTCCTAACTTAAAAAAAGCCAACACCCAACACCCAAACATCTAACTTAAGCAGATGCTTTTCAACCACCGTAGGAGTGACTTGGTTCCCCAAAAGGGAGACTTTTTGGCCACCAAGCCCTGGGAGAAGGTTGAAGCAAGGTTGATGCTAAAGAGCAGAAGGGGCCCTGGACTGTTGGTTGACACAGGGAATTAATTACTCATCATAAGCTGAGAATTAAGTTGAGTTTGAAAATCCTATTCTGGGGGAATTGAGGGCTTTAAAACCCTCACCATAATAATTTATTCAGACTCTGGAGACAGAGGTGATGGCTCATGCCTGAGATCCCAAGAGAAAGCTGGAGTGGAAGCAAGAGGAGCAGGAGTCTCTACCAGCCTGGACTCCATAGTGGCCAGAGATGGTGGTGAACACCTTTAATCCTACCTAGTTATGAGTTGAGGTGAAGATAGTAGGATGGTCTGAGGCTAGTCCAGGCAAAAGCTGGAGATTCTGTCTGGAAAAAAAAGAAAAGAAAAAGAACTTCCAGGGCATGGCCCTGGAATTGGTAGAGTGCTAGCAAGCACAAGGCCCTGAATTCAGCCCCAGTTCTACCAGAAAAAAATAAATAAAAATTTATTCAGATACTTACTTTTTAAAATCTAAAATTGTTTCCAAGATAGGTGATGAAGGACATGAGTAGCTCTGCTTGATCAGGATCTCTTCACAATTTATTATTTTTTTCCTTAGGGGAAACACTCCTCCTCCATTCTTAGTCCACATGGATTCTGAGAGGCTGAGCCTCCTAACCAATCACAATACAGCACCTCTCCTGTCAGTCATGATGGAGGACAGGAGATGGGTAGGAGATCGAAACTCTACATGATTGGGATGGGGAGGTCATTGTGAAGGTCACAGGGTAGCTGAGCTGCTGGCCACACACAAGGAAGCCCAGGCCTAACCTGGGAGCCTGCAGAGATACACAATGGGGCTAATGATGCCGGGTTGGGGTTCTCGTGAAGACCCAGGATCCAGCCATGTCAAAGCCTTTCCTTTAGTTTTCACGGAGGTGAGTGAATACATTCCAATTGTGGCTTAAAATTAAGTTTCTGTCATTTGATATTGAGTGACATGGTGCTTTCATAATATTTCTGTCATAGGTTTGGCAAAGCCTAAGAAAGACTCCAGTGGAAATATAGCATATGTGTGCATATATATATATATATATATATATACATACACACTTATATTCAGATATATAACCTCATATGTATTCCTGTGTGTTTATAGGAAACAGTACTATTTAGGGTCTTATTTCTCCTACCCTCTCTATCTTACTTCCTGTTGGGACGTGATGCCATCTCTCCAAATGGGTCTCCATCATTATTATTATCATTAGCATCCTTTTTCACAGCTGGTGCTCTCTCACTTGAGCCACACATCCAGTCTGGCTTTTTGCTGATTACTTTGGAGATGAGTCTCTTGGACTGTTCCTCCTGGTCTTGAACCTCAATCCTCAGATCTCAGCCTCCTGAGAGGCTGAGATGCCAGGTGTGAACCACCAGTACCTGTCAAGTCTCAGCTGTTTGTGCCTATGGCTCCCTTCTGACTGGAGTCTACCAGAACCAGAGATCGGCGCATGCTTACCAAACTCTTACCAGGTTTCCTGGCCTGTGCGAAGCACTACATACTCATGGCCTCACTTCACCTGACAGCAACCATACACCCCTCCATAGAAGGTCCTATTCTCATTTTATGAGTTAGGTACTTAGCTAAGATCGCAAAGCTCATAAGAGGTTAGCATAGTATTCAAAAAACAAACTGCTCTTAAATACTACAGCACATCACCATCTGTTTTGCTTTTCTTTTTTTCTTTTAGAAAAAATAATTACTCAAGCCAGAAAGAGATTATGAAGAATTGAATCAATACATATCTGAGTGATTTTCTCCTATAGAGATTTAAATATGAAGAAAGCTGTATACATTTTTATATCTACTGATTAGAGTTTATAATCGCAAAGTATTTTTTAATCAAGTATAGATTCTCCGAAGTTCCACCAAGGGAAATATAAGTCCTATAGTTCTAGGCTATTCTGCCAGCAGTATATGCCTACTGTGTAATCTAATTCTTTAATTTTTTTTTTTTAAAGACAGAGTCAGGCTAGCCTTGAAATCATGTAGCTTGGGCTGGTTTCAAATTTGCAATCTTCCTGCCTCCACCACCCAGCCCCCTGTGCTATGATTACAGGCATTTGCAACCATATTCAGCTATAATCTTTTAAATCACGGCTTGACAATGCATAGGTCTGCTTAGAAATATATAGCAACACATAGCTCTTTGTCAGCATTTCTGAGTCATGGCTGGCTACCTATAACTGCCACGTAACGTATGCACTAATGGGGTCTGACTCATTGTGGAAACTCCATTAACTCAACAAGCTTGATATTACAGAACTCTCTGAACCTTTGAGTTTGTCTCTTCACATAACAGTGATACAAGTTTAAAATTATTCCTGTGACTCCAGATGGCCTTAAGTGTTGCTCATTCCTCTCCTTTGCCTTGAGTGAAATGCCTCTGAAGTTCATCCTGGCTGGATCTGCCTTGGGCTCCATACCCAACTTTCTGTTCCTTCCAGCCTGCTCTCCCACCTCTATACCTCTATACCTTTGCTACCATTAAACTTACCCAAGACCTCTCCAGCAGTCCCAAAGGCTGGCTCCCAGCAGCATTTGATGCTATTTGCCGCTCCATTTTCCATTCTACTGCTTCTCTTCCTGAGTTCTAGGATGGCATTTTCCCCTGGGCTTGCTTTCCCTGTCTACTAAAAGTGTGGAGACTCCTTGTTGGTCCCATTTCCTCTTCTCTTTCCATGGGCATATTCTGTCCTTGCTCATCCTGCCTTTCTAGTCATCCCATCATCCTTGGATGAACTTGTCCACTGCTGTAGACTCCAAGAGGTGGTTGATGTCTGCTGAGTTCCAACTCTAATCTGTGGAACTCTACTAGGAGGTAATGACCGGGATCCAAAATTGAGTGCAACATCTTTCTTTATTCTTGGCTCCATGAGTGGAGCCTCCTTAGAATAATTTCAACAGGGGCTGGGACTGTGGCTTAGTGGTAGAGTGTTTGCCCTGGGTAGAGTAAAGCCCTGGGTTCAATACCTCAGCACCACATAAACTGAAAAAGCCGGAAGTGGCGCTGTGGCTCAAGGGGTAGGGTGCTAGCCTTGAGTAAAAAGCAGCTCAGGAACAGTATTCAGGCCCTGAGTTCAAGCCCAGGACTGGCAAAAAAAAGAATTTCAACAGATTTCAATGTTCTAGTTTCATGTACCATCATTCATAGTCACTCCATTCGTTCTGTCCACTCATGTTCCCATCCCTCTTGTACCTACCCCTGCACACACACAAAAAGACTTCTGATATTCATTTTTTAGAGTT